GCTTTATGCATAGAAATCATTGGTTTTATAAAGTATGCTTTTTCAAGTGATAAGCTTGTCCTAGTTTTGTAATATTTGTGCAATATTTTGTATACAAAGGTCCAACAAATCTTTACATGCAAAAGTATAGCTCTGAAGAGACTGTAAAATAAATAAATATCTCAACATCTCTGTGTCCTCAGTTAACCTCCATATAAAAAATCAACACTACAACTTAGAGTCCCTATGTCAGTTTTATATAAATATATGATTAAAACCGAAAGTATATCTCTGAAGAGATTGTAAAATAAATAAATATCTCAACATCTCTTTAAGTGTCCTCAGTTAACCTCCATATAAAAAATCAACACTACAATTTAAAGCTCCTATGTCAGCTTTACATAAATATATGATTAAAACTGCATGATAAAATATCATTGTTATTAAACTGAATGCTTATATGTGTAACATTAAATATCCATTCTGTTAAGACCTACATGTGTATAAATACCACTTCTGCCCAGAAAATATTGTCAAATGCAATTCAACACTTTTGTTAAGCTCCATGATAAAACCAAAAATAAAAACAATCATTTCTGTCAAATCCTGACAGTACTTGCATAAATAACACTTTTTCTTTTCTTTTATTGATCTAATACATTAAATATTTCTTACATTTTTTTACCAATTTCTGTCATCATTCAAGAGAAAATAATTGTTTCAAGTCTGTATTTGAAATTTCAGCCAATTCCCAGTTATAAAACAATAATAGCTGTGATAACCTTGTTATACTCCTAGCTGTCAAAGCTACATTCACTATATTTAGTCACTCTTACTCAATCAAAGTGTATAACCATGCAAAATCTGATACAATGATGCTCACCTAAAACACATTATAGTGGTTCTGATAAAGATAAATTATAAGACTTCCAACCTGTGGCACTAACTATTGATCAAAACCAAATTTTTTTCACAAGTGTTCTTTTCAATAACATCAATATGACTAAAGACTAGTCAAAATAAGAAATTTGAAATCAACTGAGCAAATGTTTTTTTTATGACATTAGCAAGTTTTTCTTTTACAATAACTTTATAAGGGTACTAAAAACCAACAAGAAATTAATAACTAACCAGACCTCTCATGTATAATCAAGTTGAATGTTTGCTTCGAAATCCTTCTGAAGAAGTAAGGAGAATAAACAAAAACAGAATGCCAAAAAATAGGGAGTAAAAAGAATATAAGGTAATTTTTTAAAATATCAAGTATTTGTTTGATCACAATCTAGTGTTATTAGCATTTACAAAGGATACCTATAGTTTTAGTTCAGAGTGAATGAAACTATAATTCATGAACTTCATTCCTTGGAGGTTTTTAGTCTCGGTTTTTGTTGTTGTTTTTTATGAAAGGCAAAATAAAATCTTATAGATATTAGTAGATCATTTTTTTAAATTGTGGATTTTAAAAACAATTCTAGAAAGCATGATTTTTTTCAATTTACTAGAAAGTGTAAAGCCATATGTAAGAGAAGTCAAGGGTCAAAAAAGACTTGGCCATATTCTGAAACTGTCAAGAGTTTTTATTCCTCTGGTTGCACACTTCTTTAACCTAATCCTAATTAAGATATGGGAAGAGTATTTCTGCAGCTTTATTTGAACTATGGACTCACACAGTCACAATCTGGCACACTTACCACTGGGTTACTCTCTAATGGTAGGAAGAAACTACTATGAAAATAACTACATGCTTTGTACTTATGGAAAAAGTGTAAAAATAATGATATTGTTTAGTCTATGCTAATAGGCAAAACATAATATAAAGCAGTTGTTTACTCTATGCTTATGGAAAAATTTCAAATCTCTTTTCATTTAAACATCCTTTCCATATACACAACATAAATAAAGTTTAATTAAGATAACTTAAAAATACCTTTTACTTGTAGTTTCAGTTACTTCAGTATCAGAAGGTTCTTTCTTTGTCACTTTCACATCATTCTTCACTGAATTAGACAAATCTAAACAAACAACAAAAAAGAGCACTTGCAGCACCAGGTTTCATGAGGAGCTACATTAAAACACACACACATGTAAAAGAAAACAAAGCAAAATCTAAACAGATATAAACAAATTTTAGGTCTTGATATGTGACTGCATGCAAAGTGGCAGTATGGATCTTGGTAATTATAAGGAAAATTTAGATATTGTGAGACATTCAGTACAAAAAATGAATTTGAATGAAACCATTGGTGACTTGATAGGCCGAACACCGAATGAAGATGAGAATGTCATGGTCAGGGAGGTTCAGACACCTAAATTACATGCAGGTTAGTAAATTTATTTTTCCCCTCTTCTGACCCCTAGCTTCACTGGAAACTTTTTACAAAATTAAAAATAAAAAACCCTGGCCTTATTGATGCTTAATCTTACAATTTTACATTATATATATATATATATAGACAAATGCTAAAACACACCATTTTTTTGTTATTTTTAAAAAATATCTATGAGCAGGGTCTCATACGTGCCTGTATAACATCTTCTTGCAATTTCTTTCATACTTGCTTATATAACACACATCACGCCATGCTACTCTAGTCAACTTTCTTGAACTATTTCACAAATTGGTGCCCCAGATAATCTACTTCACTTAGCCATTCCCACCTCTATTTATTCTTCTCCTTTGCATCAACCTGTCTCTAACAGTTGTATTTTCACTAGCTTTAATCTAAATTGTTTCCCAACTTGAACATGTGGCCATTCTTGATCCACGATTATTAGGATTAAAAGCTATCGACTGGAAAGTGCAAGGTCTTTACATGAATTAGGCTTAGGACTTTGAGCTGAAAGAATTTGTGATTTTTTATATTCTTTTGAATTTAAATTTGTAGTTTTAAGTTCAATAATTTAGTGTAATTTTATATTGAGTTCATAATAATAATATGATTCAGTATTTAGAATGATAAACTTGTGTAATTTTTACATAATACTACTAGTACCAGTACCACATAAGCATTTTATATTTTTCCTTCTTACAATCTTTACTTTATAGTAAGACCCACACTTCTGTTGTTATTGCTTTAGAACTAAAAC